TGTTTTTTATTTTCTAGTTGGGTACACACATCCGTGCCAAGAGGAAGCGAGAGGAGCTCGGAAATATTCTGGTACAGATGAGGAAAGCAGCTCATCATTAATTTATATATATATATATATATTCATTAAAATTGTATATACTTGAATAAATTAATACTTCGATATCGATACATAGGGTACATTATTCAAAAATACTCGATGATTTTATCACCTTTGATTCAAATAAATTGAGCAAGCGTATTTAAAAAGCGTATTTAAATTGAGCAAGCGTAATTGTACAACGTATTTTCAGAAATCGAACAGCTATCGAAAACAGATTCCTTAATTTTGTACTGTTAAATATATAAAGTATCTTTATTTTTTATTTGTCTAAAGAAAGTATTTAACTCTTTTTATAAATTTAAATTAAAGTATTTAACTCTTTATAAATTTAAACCAAGCAAGACAAAAATATAATTTTTAATTGTTTCGTCCTAAGTTTCTCTCTCAATTTACAATTATAAATACAAATTATAAAATACATATAAAACAATAATCTATTGTAAAAAATACGTATAATCTATTATAAATGTTATAAATTATTGACAATTATATATATATATGTACTTGTCTGTTTACATTGTTATTGTCTCATGAACGTATTGACAAACTATTTGTCGTTGGACAGTCAGTAAACATTTGATCGTTTTAGCAATCACATCTCGATGTTGAAAGACAAGGTATTTACTAAAAGCGCTATACATCGTTTTCCAAAGACTTTTCAATTTGGACAGGCGAACGCAGCCTGTCGATTCTGCAAGAAAATATTTTGCTGCACAACGTGTCGCGATCGCCACGTGGACAAAGTGCATCCCAACGTGAATACCGATTGTCCCCTATGCGCCTCTGAAATATTGCTGATACGACAGTATGAGTCCACGAAACTGAATTTGGAGGATGAAAAATTATTGTGTCACATAGTGGACAAACATTTGCCATTACGTTGCCGGCTGTGCGGTAATTTGTTTGAATCCAGAGAAGATTTCAAGTCCGTTGGTAATTCACGAAGCGAATTAATAATAAGATCCAAACAGTCTACAGTTACTTGCAAAAATAAAAAAACCATCCATGGGCCGCGTTCCACTTAACGCTCGTGGAATCATTTCACTTTTGTTGTTTATCAAATGTGAAACGAAAGATTCTCGCGAACAAAGACAAACTATTCTCACGAGGGTTGCGAGCGTGGAACGCAGCCATGATCGAGAGTTTTAAAATCAAGAGAGTTTTTAAGGGCAAATTTCATTATTCTATCAATTTATAGGCGATTATTGCTTTCAGAAAATATATAATCGATACTTCAGTATCACATATAAAAAATTTAATACAACTTCTTTTTTCATTCTTTTATTAGACAATAAACACTACGATCTGTTAGAAATACATAGAAAGAAATGACGTCAAATGCATGATAGTTTTTTTATCTGTTAAAATTTAATTTTTATTTGTAAAGTTTTGTCTAGTTTAAAGTCTATATAAAAGTTTTGTTACTTAGCACAGAAAACAACACAAAAAAAGATTATAATATAGCAAGTCAAAATTAAAATGTTTAAAACATAAAGTTTATATTAGTAATAAATTAAAAATTTTTCATTGTAACTTTCTCTAAATAATGTGTAACATGTAAATTTTTCAAATCTGTAGACTTTTCATGTTCAATGTTGAGTATTTTTTAAAATAAATTCTACATTTTTTAACGAAACTTTAGGTGCGTGCAAGTGGTTCGAACACTGGAATTATTTAACGTCGCCATCCAACCATGAGCATCTCGAGAAGAAATCAAAACAGTGTTCTATAAGCGAAAGCGACTGTAACGGCAGCAGATTTTGCACACCGCCGGAAATCTATCGCAAGACCAGTACACCGATGCTTCTTGATCAAAAGGCTGGCTTTGAGATACTCTCCGTACCGGAATTCAACTTAAAAACGCCTAAGACGGACTCGTCCTCGATCGCACAGGTCGCATCAATCTCGAAGACGCAAACGAGCGATACGCAATTCTTTAGTTGTTTGCTGTACAGCTCAAACGAAGATATGACGCCTTTTAGGATCTGCAAAGACGAACAATTTGCTAGGAGCAATTCAGGCAGGAGACTGAGCATCATGGAAGTAGAGCAAGAAAAAGTTGCAAACAACGATACTAAAATAATAACTGCGAATGTGAATGAAGTGTTGTCTCCTGTAGACATGGACTTGATGTCGATCAAGGGTGGCATCCTGCAGAACTCATCCATGTCAGATGATATTTGTGAGGATGTCTTGAAGAAGGTAAGGTTCTCCGATCGGTACGAAACCGCGACGGAGTTTGGGGACTTGATGGAATCCTGTGTGCGCACTATTCTCAACATGTCGATGGAGGAAGACGAGTCTCATGGCGCGCAAAAAGCGGATATTGCAGTAGAAGGTACTAAAGACGCAAATAACAGAATGCAAACGAACAGCATGGAAGACACGAACACTGCGAAGGTCACAAATGACAACCAAGCTGAAGACACAATGCGTTTTTTAATACAACCCCCGGAGAATTTTTTAAATAATTCGCAAATCAAGATCATTCAGGACAACACGAAGAATATAAAGGAGAATCAAAATCCTGATGTAAGCAATGAAGTAAACAATTGTTGCTCAGTTATAAATCAACAAGATTCCAACAACAGAGTGCTGATGATGGTGCTGATGGAGAGCAATTCAGGAGGATTGAATACCGATTTGATGCCTCTGATCAGTTCAGGTTTGAAGAAGTTGCAAGAGCAACTCGTATCAAATCGTCAGTCACCTCTAAATACGGCCGAATCTACTAAGATTTGTAGAAGATCTATTACGACAATGAAGATGAGTGTCGAGAGTGTAGAGAATTATTCTGCGGACAACGCAGCGAACGGACAGTTTGCGTCGTCTTCTTCCGTACAAAACAGCGAAAATAGTAACAATGGTGGATTTCTATCATCCGTCGCGCAAGCTATGAAACACGCTTTAAAAAATCTATCTGGTCAGTCAAATTTTCAAAATCATTCACAAATTAACTATTTAAGCGATTGAAAGATAAGATGTCATGTTCGCAATATAACTTTAACTTCTAACTTTTTTCAAAATTTTAGTTTCGGGTTTGAGAGTACCAAAAAGCATTGAAGCGTCTGAAGTAGTCCAACGACGAGAGATCGTCGAGAAATTGTCATGCTCGCCGAAATCCAGCGGTGCCAGCAGTAGCCAAGTTCGTCTTGGTAAACGGTCCCGTGAAGCCACCGAAGCGTCCTCGAAGGAAGATCCAACTGCATTTTCACCGGATACAAGAAGTCCTCTCGCGAAACGTCAGAGGGGATGGTACAAGATGATTAGAGGACGACTGCCGATTAACAGGATGCGGAACAGTCGCGTGACAACTTCGCCCAGAGGAGTATCCAAAGAGACACAGGTTTTCAGTCAAGGATCCTTGACTGTGGGCGACACAATCCTGCCGCTTCCTGCGAGAGCACATCAAACCACAGAGTAACAATGCTTCTTATAACGAGAAAGAGATAGATATTACTGAATCAAGCAAAAAATTCTTTTCAGAAACAATTTTACAAAGTTGGTTTTCCTTGATTTACTTATTGCTTGATTCAGTAATATTTATTGAAAATTGAAATTGACTTGAAGTTGTTGGATTCATCCCATCTATGTTTTATTTCTATTTGTTTACTTTGGATGCTTTCCAATTGCAATATCCTACACACTTTTGTGCATACAGTCGCACAAGTTGCGTTCCAATTGCCGTAATCGTACAACACTACTCAGTCCGTCGGCTGTGTAAGTTTGTATTTCCTAGTGATTGAACAGTTACTAACTGCGACTATAATATATAAATAAAAGAAGAAAACACGGAAGAGATGGAAACATTGTTTCCATTACTATTATGGATTAAAAAATAAAACTTTATTCGCGCGCGCGAAATCGTGTGCAACGTACACATCAATACGCATTTGATTCTAGTTGAATCGTCGTGCACAACGCTACACATTATACATACCTGTGTACGTTTGTGTCAAAATATATTAAAAAGTTGGAAAGCATCCTTTAATTTTTGAAAAACAAAATGATATTTAAAGTAATATAAAAAATTAGTCGAAATTCAATTATTTTTAAATTACTGTTTTATTTAAAAGATTAGAAAGGATTAAATCTATATAATTCTATAGAAATAAAATTTTCTTAAAACAATAGAAGATATTTAACATGCCAATTTTATATTGTTATACATATACATATAATAATTTATTGCATTATATTGAACATGAAATTTTTATTTTAGAAACTCGCAAAGCACGTGCATTTAGTACGTGATGATGTTTTATATATATAATCACATAGATATGTTTGTATTCCGAAAAATAACGCGATTTTTAAAAATGAATAAACTACATTGAGAATTATTTTAATATTTTAGAGTGTATGTTGCAATTATTTATAAATAAAGGCAATTTATGATATCTTTTTTCAATTTTTAATTATTGTATTTTCGCATTATTGAATCTTCAATACAAATTAAATCTATATTTGATATTTATACCCTGGTAGAAAAATGTTGCTGAAATTATTCCACGTTTTGGAACACTTTTCAATAAAATTTCAGCATTTAAGAAAAATTTCAATTTAATTTCAGCGATTTGTAGCTGAAAAATTTATTTTCGATAAAATTTCAGAAAAATTTCAGCAAAATTTTCAGACAAATTTCAACAAGAATTTCAGAGAAATTTCAGAAAATTTCAGAGAAATTTTGGTTGGATTTCAGTGATTTTTCAGTAATGTTAGCTGAAAAATTCACTTTCGAATCATCAGCATCTTCGCGAGAAGTTTCCTTTTATTATATAAGTTCAAATTAATTTATTAAAAAATGTTTTTTTTTTATGTTAATATTGACTAATTTTCTCACATTATTTTTGTTTTAAATAATAAATCGGACAATTTAATAACAATATGGTTATTCACATAGTTCCCACAATTTGTTTAACTTCATAAGTGACATTATTTTTCATAAAATCGTGATTCTCCGACATAATAAAAAATGATTGTATTTCTTATTATATGTAGCAAATCAGACAATTTGATGACCAAGTTTCGACAAGTATTGGACATCTAATGGTTTTGACCATTAACTCATATATTAGAGCATTCTCTTTAATGCGATTTTTTCCGAATAATTTGTTTTTGCGTTATTAATTGTTTTGATAAGGACCCGAACTGAGTTGAAATGATACGTGTATTTATATATATATATATATATATACTTGCTTAATAAATAGTGTAAGGACCCCGCACAAACCTTATGGAAATTGCATTTCGGTCAAATTGGCTAAAAATTTGACATATTGTAGATCTTGTTCTCGTCCTGATTATATTTTTTCATAATTTTCACAATTTTTTTAGAACGAAAAATTTCAGCCTGCAGCAATGATTTCCCGCGTAAATAGGAAAATATCATATTTCCGCTGCGGCCAGTCTCTTCCGCTGGGAGTTTATAACCTCAAACTGCCCAAACTGGTATGGTTTTGGACACGTGTTTTTCTAAGTCAAAGGAACGATTGAAAAAGTGAAATATCCTGTGTCTTCTCGAAGGAACGGATATTTAATAAAACAAGAAAAAGGAAAGTTACGTTGTCTCTTCAATGCGGAATTTAATAAACTAAAAGAAAATGGTTTTGTACAATTTCAAGAAAATTGCGGTTGTCCCAACTGCGAAGGTTAGTTAATATACATTTGTGATCTGTAATTTCATATATTTATGTCATAATGTTTATTACATTAAGTACAATATTTATTATAATATAAGGGAAAATCAGAAAGTAAAGTGAATTTTATTCATTATATAATACAGGTTAGCAAAGTATGTACAATATCATTTCTCGAATGGTCTATCTTCTGTTCCTGCACTAGACTGCTCTAAAACTTTCTCGCTTTCGACAAATATTAAACGTACATCTATCTCACTTTAAGTTCCAAAAGTGTATACTAGTTCAACCATAGAAAACAGACCCAATATAATGATCCAGCTTTGTAGCACATTTCATATAATGAAGGTTTCTGGTTGCCTTCGAAGTTATATCTTATACTTCCTGGGTCGGTATTTACGATTGGTTCTTATTTTAAGATCGCTTTATATAAATAATATCTTAAGATTTTAAAATTGATTTGACATCTTAAGACTTACAACAGTTTTAAATATAAAAACCAACTATAAATACCAGTCCTAAATTTTACGGCTAGAATTTATCTAAGACTGTAAGTAATATTTTACTATACTAATACAGCTCTGTAATTGACTTATGACATCTCAAAGCTATACTTAAGACGATTTTTAATATAAAAATTGAATAGAAATATCAACCCTAAATTCTAGTAAGATCCCCTTTAATAATCAAAACAAATGGAAAACAGAAGTAATAAGATCAGGACTATAAACTGGATATAAAAGAAGTTAAATTTCAGTTATTTGATAATTTAGGAAATAATGCATAGATGTCTTTGAAGACAGCCAAAAATCTTTTTTACAAACGAAATCAGAATCCTTTGATTATTATACAAAATGTGTTCCAAACCTGAATGATTATATTGAGAAATAATTCGTATATATTTTTTGCGCGTGTATTGTGCATGTGAAAAATAAATAAAAATCGTTTTTTAATTTTCCTTTCTATTTTTATATTACAATATTTTTTCACAAAACTAAGTAATAATTTTTGTCTTCTTCAATGTAGGACTTCATTGATATAATCTTGTCGAAAACACAACGGAAGACACCAACCGTTATTCACAAACAATATAAGATCACGAGGATACGCGCTTTCTATACGCGAAAGGTGAAATTCACTCAACAGAATTTTCACGATAAATTATCCCAGATAATACAAGAATTTCCCAAGCTGGATGATGTTCATCCATTCTATGCCGACTTGATGAACGTCCTGTACGATAAGGATCATTATAAGTTGGCTCTTGGACAGATAAATACAGCGAGACATTTAATTGACAAGTAAGAAAACAATGATTTATATATAACTCGCAAGATTTGTTCTAATTGTCTTACAAAATATATTTTTCGATTACAGTGTAGCGAAGGATTATGTTCGTCTTTTAAAGTACGGAGATTCGTTATATCGGTGTAAACAGCTGAAAAAAGCCGCTCTGGGTCGAATGGCCACGATTATGAAGAGACAGGCAGCCAATTTAACGTATCTTGAGCAAGTCCGTCAACACTTGGCTCGATTGCCAAGTATAGATCCTTACACGCGCACAATAATTATATGCGGGTTCCCAAATGTTGGCAAGAGCAGTTTCATTAACAAAGTAAGTAATACATAATAATTTTATGATAGTTTTGTCTACAAATAGTAAGGGAGAGTGGCCTAAATCGGACCTATTTGCAGTTTTTGCTCTCTCTAAGGCATAAATGAAGTCCGATTGTAAAACCGAAGGTGACGTTGGAAAGATCCATTTAATTACCTTCATTTTTACTTGAGACCATTTTGACATATTTCTCACCTGTGTTGAACTATAATGAAAAATGTAAAAACGCTTGGTTCCAAAGTAGTAGAGTTATCTTCCCTATTTAATATATAATGTGATTTATTCTATAGATCACTCGAGCCGATGTAGAGGTTCAACCGTACGCATTCACAACGAAATCTTTGTTTGTGGGGCATACTGATTATAAATACTTGAGATGGCAAATAATAGATACACCTGGAATATTGGATCATCCATTAGAAGAGAGAAACGTCATAGAAATGCAGGCGGTGACTGCTCTTGCTCACTTGCGAGCTGCTGTGCTTTACTTCTGCGACTTGTCGGAGCAATGTGGTCATACTTTGGAGGAACAAGTGAGCTGTGAAATATAACACTTATGATCTTTAACATTAATGTTCTAAACTCTGTTTTATTTATGTAGGTAAAACTTTTTGAATCTATAAAGCCTTTATTCACGAACAAGCCTTTAATAATAGTCATGAATAAAGTGGATATCCTACGTTTGGAAGAATTATCTCCGGAGAAGAGAGCTGTTCTGAAGCCGTTCGAGGACGATACGAATATACCTGTGCTAGAAATGAGCACCATCACCGATTTTGGCGTAATGGAAGTGAAACTGGAGGCTTGCGAGCGACTTCTGGCCTTCAGAGTCGATCAAAAGATCAAGACTAAAAAGGTAATTAATCCAAAAATCCTTTAACGTAAAATCTGCAGTTATAATGCACGATTTATAACGATTATAGATGGAAGGACTTCTTCACCGATTGCACATTGCTCAACCGAAAAGGATAGATCCTAATCGCGTCCCGTGTATACCGGAGAGCGTTTTGAAGAAGAGACAAGCTGCTGCAGAGAAAGCCACAAGGAAGCGTAAATTGGAGAGGGAGATAGAAGAGGAGATGGGAGACGATTATGTGCTTGATTTGAAGAAGAATTACGATATTGAGGGTGATCAGAAATACGACATCATCCCTGAGATATGGGAGGGTCATAATATAGCGGATTACATAGACCCAGATATCTTTGAAGTCAGTACAAACTTGATTGTGTCAATGCATAATTGTCAAAGCGAAACATGTTTTTATATCGTTTTTCCATTTTCCAGAAATTAAATCAACTCGAAAAGGAAGAACAATTGAGGGAAGAGGCCGGTTTCTACGATTATAAGATACCAGAGTTATCGGAAACGATGCGCGAGGTCGAACAGTTGGCGAAACAGATTCGTGAGAAGAAATTCGTCATGAAGGACGAGGCGCGAATACTAAAGGCTTCTACAAAATCGATTATGCCGCGTACAGCCGCGGCTAAGACCCGCGACCGGTCGGTCGCGAAACTGAAGGAGCAGATGGAAGATCTGGGTGTGGATATGGAAGATACTGAAAACGTGAGTGCCAGTATTTAAGTGTTTTCAAGAAGATAGTTTTAGGACAATTTTTTGTATCGTATTGTTAATTCAGTCACTTTTATTTATGTAATTTATTAATTATATTGCATCAAATATCATATGTTATGTTATATTTTATACTAATTATAACTATAGGCGCACTTCAAACGAACGAGAGGACGGTCCAGGTCGCGCTCAGAACCTGCTAGGAAACGCATGCGTGTGGAATTGGCATCACAATCGCGTGCCCGCAGCGTCTCGAGACCACCGCGGGATGAGATGGGAGTTAAAAACGTAGAAGTAAGTCAGAGACAAATAGACGATGTAAATTTGAAAGCTTCAGCGCAACAGTGATCTATATTTTAGAAAATTAATGTTAAAATAAAGACACAATTAAATTTAGATTAATTAATTTGCTTAACTTCCTTAAAAAATATATATTATTGAAGAACTGAATACCTTATTTTAATTATTTTCTAATTTATGAAAGCCTATTTACATCTATTTGCACAATAAATGGAAATATAGAATTTATCCTTGCTTGTGTTTATTGCAGATGAAGATGAAGCTGAAAAACGTAGCTTATAAGACACAGAAGAAGAAAATAGCCAAGAAAGGTCTCAAGGGAGAGGGTGATCGTTTTATCGGCAATAAAATGCCGAAGCATTTATTCTCTGGCAAAAGAGGAATCGGCAAAACATCCAGGAGATAAAGCATTCACTTATATTGCACACATTACTTATGATCCTTCATTTATATTATATATCTATACATATATAAACAAAACCGTCACCTTTGTAAATGTAATTTTCAATCCAGATTTCGTATTAAAGATATTGTCGCGAAATATTTCATTCATCGACGCGGATACTATCGCTGACCTATTTCTGTTTGATTTATGATCAATGATGCGATTACAATTTGTGAATGAAACTCACGTGTTTATTGAGAAGAGAGCGAAGATCGCTTTTTCCTTTATCATTATCGGACACTGAATAGTCTGTTTTGAAAATAGTATTTTTTGTGACGACACTCGGTGTAGCATGAATGCGCATGGTTGCATAATGCACACAAGGTAACCTTCGAACTCGGGACGGGGTGAGCAGCAGCGTCACGCTTAATAAAACTTTATTGCTGTCGTGGCCAGATAACCCCTCGCGTCGATTGTAGCTTTCACATTACATTCTATTCATAAAATCACAACGGTAGCCTCGAAACATCGATTAAACAGTTGTATGATTTAATTTTGAAATGTTATCTATAAAACATTACAACTTTATAAAATAATAGTAATAGAATATTGATAAATTAATACTTAAATTGAAATTGCTCTAATTTTGTTACTCTAAATATTTGAGTTTTAATTGTTAAGATGGAATTAAAAAATTTGAAAGATTGTGAATAAACATGATTTTCTTTGTGGTATTTTCGTTGAAAATAATCATTTGACAGGATTTTTTCAAATTATGATTTAGTTAAATACCACCGTAAAATGATAAAAAAATAGAAGAATGAGCTTTTTTTTATTGAAAACTGCTTTGTGTTAATTATGTACAACGAAAAATATGTATAACGATCATTGACTAGCGCAAATTTTATATTTGACTTTCGTGAGCTTTTTCGAAGATCTTGATTCGTTAATGATAGAAATTGATACAAAATTGTAAGGAGAAAATTCTGTTCGTATTTTGTAAAAATATATTTTGAAATTCGCGCCGCTTTAGAGATAAGAAGAGAATGGGCGAGTTCAAGTCGGCAAAGTGGCTAGATCTGCTTGCCGAGCGAATGAGCATGATTGGTTCTTACCTGTGGATCCAACCAATCATGTTTAATTGCTTGGCGAACAGACCTAGCCGCTTTGCTAACTTGAACTCGCCCATTACTTCTTCCAAATCATGTTCTCCTAATATCCTGAATTTAGCTACTGAATTTAATTTGCATCTTTTTATTTGAATTTGTATCAATTTACATCTTTTGAAGAGCGAGATATTCGAATCGAATATTTAAGATTGTGTAACTTCTTACAGCAACATGTTGTTCTAATAATTTTGACGATTTGTGGAGTATAACGAAAGACTCATATTCCAAGTCTCTCTTATCTCGATGCAGTAGTCAATCCACAGGAAGTTATAAATTAATCAAATTTATATTTAAAAGAAATTCGATCATATGGTTATAAATGAGCCAATTTATAGAGAAAAAAATTTTAAATACATTCTAGATATATCGCCAAAATTTAAGAAAAAGAGAAAGATAGAAAGAACATCATGTATTGTTCACTTATGAAATTACAATAAAAATAAATAATATTATAAATCTTTGAATCTTTGAAATGAGTCGTCTAGTTTGATAAATTCTATTTCTTTATTAGTAAGAAATTGATTTAAAATGAAGACAATTTTAAAAAACAACAATATTCCTTGATATAAGATCAATCCAAATTTTGTTTTAAATTGCAATTTATTTAAATTTACCAACGACCAGTAGGAGATGAAAGAGAAATAAGCGTGTCTTTTTATTGAAAACTGATAGATCATATATTTAAGACTTCGCTATAAATGGATCTCCATCATCAGATAAGTTGACATTAAGAGGGACAAGAATAATGATAATAAAAGGGCGCCGCTGGGTGGTTAATTAGATTATTAATTTTACAATAGTGCACGTGATCATAAATTTTATACAATTTGATACATCAGACACGTTAGAAAAACAACGATCTTGTTTCTCGTCGATCTTGTTGTACGTTCGATAAATATACGATGCACATTGCTTCGATAAAATGCGAATAATATTATTATCTCACAGATAAAACTCGAAATGCTCACGCATACATGGAGATTATAGTGCGGTGGTTATCGATCGACGTGGATTTCGTGGAAAATATTTATGTAATGGAATTTTTGCGAGAGCAACTTTTGACACATATTCGTGTTAAACTGCGGGGGGAGGAATCGAGAGATTTATTTGGGATACTCAGAGATTCCATTCATAATACTCTATAGGAACTAAACGAAACCTCGATACAAAACAGGTTCGATAAGAGCGAAGACTTTAGCTTGTGTCACAAAGTTACATTAGCATCAGACATCGATCCGCTCATTTCGCAGAAGCCTAGCGTGATTGTAATAAATTAACAGATAGAAGGTATGTGTTACAAAGATGATGTTATGGCGTTTCGGGGGGACGCTCGTCCGGCTAAAAAAGAAAGTGTCCTTACAGAAATCTAATACTAGTCCATTTAAGAATTTATTATATGTATTTAAAAAAAAAAAAATTATGAAAAAGTTATAGATTTTTCTATATTGTATTTGAAAGTAATACAAGAAATGTTTGGCGACAATTTAGGACTTCAAGGGTCAAAAATTATTTTAATAAAAAGTGGGCATGGTTTTTTTTAAAAATAGTTAAGATAAAATGAAGAAAATTTCATTTTAACTATAAAATTGTATTATATTAAATATTTTTTAATATCAACCTTACAGAATTTTCATATATTATACATATATGTAACATTCATTTTCATACAGATAGTATAAATTCCCAATTCCAAGCACTTTACAGAAACTATATGTCTAATACAACCTTAATATTGAAAGACAGTAATTAATTACTTATTTTAAGTATTAAAAACTGTCGTTCAGTGCTTTTAGTATTCCAAATAAGTAATTATTAATTATTGTCTTTCAGTAATTAAATTGGCCAATATTGGATTTCTGTTAGGGTAGTCATCGTTGCTCACGATTGTCGACGATTCACGACGATTCGCAATGATTCGTTTCCGCTTAGCCGGGTCTGGATATAGTGAGAATGTCCTAATAATATAAAATACGATCGCTATATAATAAGGAATATAATGACAAGTAAATATCGTTAGTATCACAGTCGATGCGAGACCCTGGGCGAGCTTTTACAGGGTCTGAGTGTTCGGTGATGCCTTGGATCGTCCGAATCGTACGAAGAAAGAAAAGAGAGAAATAATGGAAGTCTAGAGGGATCGCGAGCGTGCACGAAAATCTTAAAACTCGAACGGTACTTTCGCCATTATCAGTATATTTATTATTAATTGTAGTATCTTAACGCGAATGTGAATGGCATCACCGAACCGCAATTCGGACGATTCTTTGGTGAGTCCTCGGCCATGGTAGACTGTTTCACTCTCTTTTCCTCTCCTCTTTTTTACGAGCAGGCGCACTCCAACACCTGGATGTTCTTCCAGTAGGACACCTTCAGCTGCGTCGACTGATTCTCGTCGAAATAGACGATCATCAGCTGGTCGAGCTTGCTGGGTGCGCAGCACGGCTTAGGTACCCTTTTCCGGTCCTCCTTCCACAACAGACTCTGCAGCAGAGCGTGATGATGTGCTGGATTGTACCGGGGCGGACAACGACCCTTACAGTAGCCGGCGTCGAAGCCCTTCGGGTATACGATGAATTCGAAACCCTTCAGGTCCTTGAACATCACCGTCAACTCGTGCCGGCAGCATTTCTTGTTGTTGTCACCCTTGCACCGGCTGCGCCGGCCCTTGTGCAGCGGCATCAGTTCCTCGGGAGTGGACCTCTTCCTTCTACCACTTCCAGGCTCCAACGTGGTGAACACGTTCAACGTTGCATGGGAAACCTCGCGCCGTGTCGGTCGGCCGTCGTGAAGGAATTCCAGTTCGAGGCCGTGGTTCTCCAGACCGTATTCGAGCCAGCTCGCAGCCGCCTCGGTGGAGTCCAATTCCATCCACCGGGAACCCGTCGGCTCGCCCTGCGGGATCTCGCGCCGCAGCAGGAGACGTCGAGAGGCCGGCGTTCGGAGATAGACCAGCGCCTCGAGATCGCGTGGACGTCTGTGATCGCCTTGGAGAAGAAATCTCAGGGACGCGTGATCGACCGTGACGTCTTCTCCGTCGCCGGAAACCACGACGGGAAAGTACAGGGAGTGACGATGGTACCCTCTTCTCAGGCTAAAGCCAAGGCTCGATTTGTTCCCCGGATGCTCTGTAACGAGAAAGAACTGTCGATGAGTACATATATCGTTATGTAAAGGAGAAGTTGTGAAGTCGGCAAATTTGCGTCAACGCGATAGCTTCTAAATCGGATGACGATTTTATGTCACGACGGCCATTAGCGAATTCTAATTACAATATTACAATATTAAATGTGTAAATGTTATTACATAGATGCAAATTATTAACATGATAAATTGTCTTTGATACTTATCCAGAGAGAAGATAAGTTAATGTTATTAGTAGAATGTAATGCATCCCGTAATAATATAGTACTATGTAATGGCAATATCGCCTCGGCAAAATGTAATTAATTACTAATAGAGAATGTTGCGCGTTACGCAACACTACCATCGAAGCGAGACCTGAAACGAATAGAGGATAACAGATTCTAGTTCTTGCGTATTAATTAACGCGGGGGAAAAACTCCGTTTAGGTTGCAATTGAATTCTTGCAACAATGACACGGAAGGCTGAGCAAGAGTCTTGCTTGTAATCGTGAGTCAGTTTCGCTTTGTCATCATTGTCAACGTGGTATTCGTGCTACACACTTACATATGTACTTATACCTTGAGATTTACAGATTATATTCACGGTAAATTTAGAGCCGCGACGAAGAACAGCTCGCCTATTGTCTACGTTTATACCGTTGCAATGGAGAGGAACGAACCTTTCCGTGACCCTTGAACAAAACCAGACTACCGAAAAAGAAAACGTGAACAAATTTAAATTCAAGTCGATGTTGACTTACGGGATGACGCTTTATGGTCAGAATATCGCTTCAGTTTTGTCCTCCGTAGACAAACCGAAAAATCTTCACACTTTACACATCGCACATTTGTTATAATGACGTAACTAAAAAATTGTTATTTTGGAATTGTTTTCAAAACAGAAACATAAAGAAAAAAGAGAAAGATACTCGAAAAGAACATAATTTTATTATTCTAGAATCAATTATTACATCAAAATTGCATCTTATAATTAATATTACAAGACTTTAATGATTCATATCATTCAAACTTTCTAAAAGACTTTGTCGCAAAACTTTTTGCAGCATTGATCATTGTACTTGAGTTTCCCACGCAATTACTTTGATGGTCCAACAAAATTATTATTAGATCTATATCTACTAAATGTTTGAATATTTTTTTGAGTGTGATGTTGTAGCAAATGCACACAGAAAAATTCTATCATTCTTTCCGCGACATACTTTACAGAAAAAAAAGAAAGTTTTTTTCCCAGTATCACTTAATGAATGTTTAATTAAAATAAATTATTGGCAATGATAAATAAACGACTTTTATAATATAATTAAAATAACTTCCTTAGTATGTTAGTAAAATTTATATACGATGCAAAATAAGACATGTCTGATGATTCGTGCGATCGTAGTTGCTTTCGCACTCGAGCTAAAATGAAAGCGCGAGACGGTTAACGTAGAAAGAGTAGCAAACGGAAACTGCGTTTTGTCGGGGTTGCTTTAAAAGTGGCATTACATAAATGACAGGAACTGTTGAATTCCCGGTCGACCGACGCACGCTGTCACAATTCTCTCACGCGTATTTACGGATGCAGAATATGCAGATGCACGTGCGTTCCGCGACGAGCATTCTTGTCTCGGTGGAAGATCTACGTTATTCGCCCACGTAAATATATTGGCAGAGGGATTTTCGCGGATCGAAACTCCGCCGGATGGATACTCGTCGCGCATAAACAAACACAACTAGCGATCTGAGTCACGGAACGGTATTCGGCCTTCCAACAAAATCGACCGCAGCGTGTATTGCCGATCTCACTGATCTACGAAACGACTTGAAAATACCTCGAAGATGATATATATAAGCGAATGCTCGTGAATTTTTTAATTCCCCTTAATTCCCCTTAAACACTCGCAACGCGATATTTGACTATAGTTTGATCTATAGATAAAAACAATGGCTGCGTTCAGCAGAAAAAGCAGCTTTGGAACTGTTGTAAAATTCTTTAATATATGTTTGATTTTACTCACTTACAACGTTCCTCACTAGATCTAAATGTACTATATAAATCCATCATATTAAAGAATCTTACAACAGTTGCAAAGCTACTTTTTCTGCTGAATGCAGCCAAGAAGTAATCTAATTCGTTTCTCATTAAATATTTAATATTAAATAAGTAATTAACGATAATAATTATTATTAAATATATAAATTCATTTGTTTGTTAGATCTGTGTTCTGCGATATTCCCTATTATTTCTACTCGGCATGTGACTTTTATTCTGTGAAGAATTTAGTGTGTTTCGAATTTCGATTTAACGATTTGCTTCATTCTAAGAAAAAAGAAAATTTTGTCAACTTCTGTCCGCAATATATTACTTCTTCTCGAGATATTGCCGGAGGAATTGATCGCGAGCCAATATCGTAAATATTCTCGAACCAACGTACTATTAACGAGACCGCTCAAAGGGAGGATTTAGAATTTGTAAATCGCTCGTTTCGGCAGCTGTAAAAGTCACGCTTGGAGACGAAAGAGAGGAGGGTGCGAGAATCTGTGTTAGGGAGATAAATTCTTTGAAGAGAAGAAGAGGAGAGAGAGGGGTGCGAAAATCTCTCCCTCCTTCCCTCTCTGTAGGAGGGAGATAAAGTCTTTAGAGAGGGGAGGGGAGAGAGACAGAGACAGAGAAAGAAAGAGCTCCGATTGCCGGAGAGCCGGTATTCTCTCTCCGTTCCTCCTTTTAACTCGCTGATTAAGTCTTATTTATGAGGGCTCGCGAGGCTGCTCAGGAAAACTCTCGCGGGGCCATTAATTATCCACGAGGCATCAGCGACCACACACCGTTTTTCCCCGAGCCTGTCGCGGTGCGTTCAAGTGGTTGGCGCCGGTATTACGAGTGCCACGATGATAATTACGGAGTATTTAAGTAGAGATCTTCAAATAAGAGATTGGATATTCCCTCGGATATTCCCTTTAGACAACTTTTGATTGAACTACCATATTCGGTATTTCAATCATTCACGATGCTTAAAATAGAATGAGATGCATTTCATATTTGATTATGACAGACATTGAGTGTCTGATTTGTATTTTTTTTATTGAACCTACCTGAATTCCAATTAATATAACAAAATTTTTTATATATGTACACAGATATAGGCAAGAAGAAAGATTTCGTAAAGAACGGAAGGTCTCAGATGTACGTTGGGAGAGAAAGGGAACGCGATGTACTTTCCCAGGACGGGATACGTGCTGTCTAAAATTTTTGGAGCGAAATTTAATTATAAAAAGTGATAAAGAATGACAATTGAACTCAATTGTCAATTTTTAAGAATGAGATTTCACTCTTTAGAGTTAGATTCCACTTCAAAGATTTTAGAGACTGGTGATAGCGATTGTACACTTTTGTCCAAAATAATTCTACGAGTTCATTATCTAATTTATTATCTGCTTTATTTGGTCGCATTTGATTTACAGCTGCAACAATTAGGAGTTATCTCGAGCGAGGTACGGGGAATATAAAAAGAGAAAGATGGAAACAAAGGATCTGAGTGAAAACTCTATTTGCTTTATCTCGACGCGTGAAAGTGGCTAAACTCGTGGCTCGACAATTTCTTTCTCACGCGAAACTCTTTAAATAAGCCGCGAGAATAGACGATCGCCGACACGCTAAGAGATAGATAGACAGAGAGAGAATTGTGGAAAATAATGGATTTATTTGCGCGTTACTTGAAATCCCTAAGATTTTTGCTGCGCTATTTATTTGCTACTCATTTCTACCAATGTAGATTAATTTTAATCTCTTAATTTAATTTACTCTTTATCTTTTTTTACATTGGAAAAAATTTGCTAAATTCTAATAAATATTTCTTTGAATAGTACTAACTATATATAAATATTTACTAAATGTAAACATATATTTATTACGTACAAAAAAATTATTAATTTAAGTCATCATTAAATCATTTTTTTATTGAATAAATATTAAATATATTCTTTATTGCAAGAGTAGTCTTAGTTAGTACTATTCAAACAAATATTTATTAAAACTTAATATCTTTTTCAGTATAATCATTAGAATTTGAAAAAGATAAAGAGTAAGTTAAACCGAGAATAAAGTTAATCTATATTAATAGAAATAGACATTAATGATAATATAATTATGTATGTAAAAGTGTCTAGAAATTGGGCGATGAGAGAGAAGGTTCGAGCCCTTCCGTGCTTCGCCGCGTATTCAGAATGCTTTACTGATTAGTGCCCTTATTTATGAGTGTCGCGCACACATGTACATAAGAAAAGATACGATGAGGGAGGCTGCGTTCCCCCGCGGAATATTCGTGACACCGAGCGATTTTCAGAGCCCCGACACATTTCCCGGTTATCACGTTCTTCGTATAATTTATCTGCCTGACGACAGGCCAACGCACCGCGTCGTTTCACATTCAGTAGAATCGTACGTTTTCAAGTTTTCTCTTCTCTCTCTCTCTCTCTCTTTTTCTGTTTGTTTCTCGTGGCGCCACGGGATCCTCTGCTTTTAGAGCGAGGGCAATACTTAATCCTTCGTCCACCGAGTGTATTTCTGCAAATAGACACACGTCTATTTCTCGCAGGTTTCCTCGCATGATTGGATGAAAAATAAGATCTTGTAAACGTTTGATACATACATGCGGAGTATCCGCAGAAAACCGGATGTTCTCTCGCAGATTCTTCTGCCAACTTGCGGTCGACGTTCCCCTCGCGAAGAAGTAGAGCAAAATCATCATTTACGTAATTTTATATCTTTATATCTAATTACGTTTAACGAATCAAAATTTTGTGTATATACTTTAAAATAAAATTTACATAAAATTTAATAATAATTACAGTCCTATCGTCTATCTACCATTGTAAAATTGCTTTTTACAGAAATCTCTTTAATTTCAGTTGTCGATTCTAGATCGATGGGGACTTACTGCGTAATTACGAGAGCATCATGCATAAAATATAAAATTATGCAAACGAGCCTTTCTTATAAATAA